GATAATTTAGGACCGTTATTCGGAGGATAGCCACTAAGTCTAAATATTAAAAATCTCTGACAGTTTCAATCTATTCATTATCGTATTTAATACGTGGTTTGTGGGCTGTAATTATTGTGGACATTATTTGGGAGTGGGCATTTTTTTTTTATCAGCTTCTTTACTTCACTGTGCTTTTTGACAGTTCAGGCCATATAAACTGTTGGAAAGGAGAACTGTGCCGTCTGCATATCCGAGTTCGGCTCTCCTCCGAACTTCTACCCCCGCAGTAATGCGGCCTGAAATATCCTTTCGGGGCGCAGTCCAATTAAAAATACAGACCTGTCGGAGTTTCTGCTGAGGAACAAATTGCGGCAAAACTAGGAGTACCTTACAATGTCACGAGACGCAACACTGCAGACGATAAAAGCGACCGGTGACAATGTCGAGCGTTTTCTGCAGACGATACTAGCAGACGATAAAAGCGACCGTTGACAATTTCAAGACATTACAGACGATGAAAGCGATATGGCGGGTAGACCACGCGCTCCCACGCAGATTAGCAATACTGTTCTTCCGATTGAGGATTTAGCAGCGGTAGATGTCAGACTTGTCGGCATGCGCAAAACGCGATTAAACTCACCGCCGAGCGTATCCCCCGCGCAGCTCTGATGGGGGGCCAAACTTGGTGCCTGGGCCTCACGAGCAAAGTAATTTGAGGAAGTTGCAGGAGATGCAGTAGCTGCCTCTCGTGAGTCCCAGCCATCTAATTTAGCCCCTATACACGCTGCGCGTAGCGGCACGGGGGATACGCTCGGCGGTGAGGCATAGTCACAGAAACAGGTCCGCAAGTAACATATCGTTGAGACCCTGTTAGAGCATTTGTTTTGTTTTTCCAAGCTGATCCTAGATTTGCGGCGATTTGTTCGTCGGCAGAAAGTTCGACAATGGAAAGTGTCAACGGTTGCTATTATTATCGTCTGCTATTATCGTCTGCAGTGTTGCGTGCGTCTCTTAGAATTGTCAGGTAATCAGAAACAATAAGAAACAGGTCCGCAAGTAACATATCGCTGAGACCCTGTTAGAGCATTTGTTTCATTATACGGAGCCGGCATATTTTTAATTGGAATGCACCCTGAACGGATATTTCAGGCCGCAATACTGCGGGGGTAGAAGTTCGGAGGAGAGCTCCAGTTCTGGTATAGGTTTGCCCCCTAACTGTGCCTGGATGAGAGTTGTTCCTGATTTCAATGATAAACCGCATTAAACTGATTCATATGAAGCTTTGGTTATACCGGTTGTATCAAAATCTTGCTTTTATTTCCTTGGGTAAATCGTTTGATACTGGTAGTAGCTCTTGTCTGTTTGCCTCCCATGGCTGTCTGTCATTGTGCTGGTGGAGTCCCAAAAACCTCTCCATTTATTAACATCGTTGCAGTCACCTAAATATTGTGCCGTTGGATTTTTACTTTGTGATCAGAACTTTCCGCCACAGTATACAACCAGTCAACGCAAAGAAGAAGAGTAAAAATAAAACGAATGTTACATGAATTCTGCTTGTTTAACTAGACTAGAGTAACCATAGCAATTTTTTCATAACAGTTTGTTTCAGTGGTCTCATAACTTCATAGGAATTATGTTATTGCTACGTTCTTTTAATAATTGAAGTCTGTAAATCAGTTTCAAAATAAAGATACTTACGAAATTCAGAATTAAAGAAACTGTCTTTTTCTCAAACTGAGGCATTTTAGCAGAAAAACAAAAGATATCGTTCATATCAAATTGTTTCTACAGTGCTGGGTCATGTTTTCGAAAGGTTGTAACCCGGAAGTGCTTCTTTACCCTGCCATTCTGATCAGGGCTGCCAACATGATTTTTTTTAAAACTCAGCTCATCTGAACAAAAACCCAGAGTTGAGTTGAGTCAGGAACTGACCTCACAGCATTCAGGGCATTCCCATGCATGCTCCTTACTCATCTTCAGCAGCCAGCGCAGAGTTCCAATACTGATGGTGCCGGTCACAATCTGGTTAAAAGTCTGTCTTGCCTTTTCTGTAGTAAGCCGGCCAGACCCTCTGGTTACACCCAGGTGCCTCATTCTCTCCAGGCCGTAATAATCTTCTCTCTCTACTGATTCAGTTGCTTGTTCCCAAAGGGCTTCGACCACAGTGGTGCGGATCCAGCCAATCTGTCTGCCTGTTCATTACCCACCACGCCTCTAAAGCCTGGAGAAAAGATCCAAAGTATGCTCACACCCGTGACCTTTTCAGTGAAGCTAGCCACTCTGCTCAAAGCATCTTCACCTTTTTCAGCATGCTTTCAATCTGTTACAATTACGACATGTTTATGCATCTTATTATCTAGCCAGCTGAGAGCTGTAGATACAGCCTCCACATCCATTCTCGTGCTAGATATTGTAGTGTCATATGCTGGGCTGTCGTGCACTTAAGACTTTCCATTGGCTTTTGCTACGAACCCCCAGGCACTTCTCCTTCCTCTCAACACTGAACCATCTGTATAGATAATCAGATCACCTGGGCGTGAATTGTCGTGAATCAACTGTTGGACTTCAGCCTCTGTAGCTCCCGCTTGCCACTCTCAGCACACCCGGCCCAGTATGTATATAGATAAATAGAGTCGGCCGTGTCATAACCCTACACATGTCAGACTTTCCCGCTTGTGAACAAAAACCCAAGAAATACTTAGACAAAGAACCAAAAACATGATAATTACAACAGGTATTGGTGACGGAGCACGCATGGGAATGCACCAGAGGGCTGTGATGTCAATTCTTGACTTAACTAACTTATGCATTTCTCGTTGATTACTTTAGTAAAATAAATGTTGGCAACCAGCATGCCAAATTCATAATTATCCTTCAACAAAAACAAACACATAAAATAAAAATAAAAAATTGGCAGCGGTGGGATTTGAACCCACGCCTCCGAAGAGACTGGTGCCTTAAACCAGCGCCTTAGACCGCTCGGCCACGCTACCGTTGTGCCGATATTTGTTTTACATGTTGCATTTCAGATCCTACAGGATCGCAGGACTTGCCGTCAGGACTTAAGTTGTTAAGTCTTAGGGATGAGAATCCTAGATGTAAAACAATAAATCTCTATAAGCCACTTTAAACCTTAAAATTATTTTTGGATCTCAATAAGCAACCTGAAGTCTTAATCAGGCAGGAAATGGAGAGTTTTTGAAAAGCTTCATTTCTAACAGAACTCTTCATTTCTAATACCTCGCTAACAACCCTGCAAAACTCCTACTAAAGTCTGATAATCTGGAGAATCTGCTGTTTTTTCAAAGGAGAAGTAAGACGCCAAAAAATAGCTTACATTGATGATGATGATGGTGGTGGTGGTATTATTTATGGGTTCACCGTGTGCGATATTTGCGTAAAGACTCGAAATCTCCTCTCCTTTTTTATATTTCTTCGTTAATCTAGCATTTTTTATTTTATTTTACGTACAAGTGATGATATGTTGTTATTACAATCGACAACACAGCACAATGAGCAGCAGTCACTCCAAAGTACCCCCTACTGGTTGTTCTCATGAAAAGCTGGTTAGAACGTCTTCTAAGTCTAACTTGGCCTCGAATTCGGCGTAAATGTTTACAGCACAGTTTGTGATATCCTAGGGCTCCTGTGATATCCCAGTGGAAGATCGTGCAAATATGAAGGGCGGCAACTATAAGATTTTACACAGAGCAGGCAAACGATCGCTCAGGTGCCTATAGTTCGTAGTTATTAAGTGGAGAGGGGAAAAACAGTAGGACAGACAAGGGCGGCAAAGCCACCCCTCCCTCCCCGCCCTGTTGACCATGTTTATGTGATGTGTTAGTATCCAGAAGCCAAGAGTTGTTAACCTTTAGGCTCGGTATTGTGGATATCGCAACCTTTCGGCCTTGATTCCATTGAAAATACCGTAAATCTGGGAGAAATGTGGCTTTCCTGCCTACCCCCGGGATTGAACCCGGACCACAAGGAGTTCGTCACCCGGTTTCCGCGCAATCCGGTTTAGCCAACTACGCTAGAGAGCCGGGCGGTAATCATGGTTAACACACTCGTTGATTTAATGCTTTTTATTCTCCCCCTGGTAGGCATCGGAACGAACGTTATCCTGCTCTTTTGAAAGATCGTGATACTAGGTTAGTTGCGTATCCTTTACAGGACGTTAGTTAGTTAGTTGGGTTATCCTCATTGCACTCCGGACATGTCTATAGGTGCTCAGATCCTCCCCTCAGTATGAACCCCAACGTCCGATGGCTAATAGTACCAGTTCTATGTTGATTAACAAGTCTTCTGGCGTAGCTGGTGTGCGTCTCGTTTTTTGCTGTGCCGATCTTAATTCCCAAGTCTGCCATTCTGGCGAGTGATGTGGATTCACTGCCACCAAAGTCGTCTATCCTTGTAGAACCAAACATTACAGTCCCTGGCCAGTAGTTTGCCATTGCTACTGGACGGTCGGCTTTCTTGATACCTCGAAACCAACGCAAGGCGCATGGTCGCAGCTGGGATCTAACGAAGCGTTCGCATCGACTTAGCCGACATCGTTATCTTGCGGGATCTTCCACTCGTTTTGTTTGTTATATATCTTCCGATCTCTCTCTCTCTCTCTCTCTCTCTCTCTCAGGAAGGTGGATAAAAAATTGGCAGCGGTGGGATTCGAACCCACGCCTCCGAAGAGACTGGTGCCTAAAACCAGCGCCTTAGACCGCTCGGCCACGCTACCACTACAAGCCACACCTGCTTTGTAATTTTCAATTAATCAACACTACGCATGAGACGGATGTATTGACAACAGACTACAAGTACCTCACATCCCTGGAGTTGTGACCTTTCCTTGTCTTTCTCCCCTCCCCACGACTGATGCTTGAAAGATTGACACCTAGTGACTCAACGAGTCACTATTCGGATGCGGATTCAATTATGCTTATTTGCTATTAAGCTCATTATTATAATGTTAATTATTATTATGCTGAATGGCAAGTAAATTACTTTTATAGAAAATTTATATGAATGATTATAGGAATATCCTGTTCTTCTTATATAATTATTTGAAGGGTTGTAACTCAACCCCCCCCCCCTTTTCCCCCACCCCCACTTGTCAAATATGGCGCCAATGTGAAACACATAACACATTTTTCCCATTAATCCAAACTGCGTTAACCCCTTAGTTCCGGCGCCTATGACCAGGGCTACCAATATTGAGTTTTTCCCCCCAACATCTGGGGTTTTATTTGACGCCTTGGTTCAGATTTTAAAATCCTTTTTTTTTTTAAATATATCCTTAAATAAGCGTGAGAGATTGTTTCGTTTCGTAACTATACAATTTGTATTTTTTATCATGCTTGGATTTTTGTTGTTGCTTATGTATTACTAAAGAAATAGTGAAAATCATAACTTATTTCTTAACACAGCAAAAACAAAGATAATGCATACAAACAAAACTGCCATGGAGAAGGAAATATATGTTAATGAGGAAAGATTGGAAGTGGTGGAAAATTTCGAATATCTTGGGTCACTGGTTTGGTGACACAATAAAATCAAACGGCGACTTCAATTGCTCTTCAAAGACTAAAACAACTGAATAAATTATGGAATTGTACAGATAGAATTACAAAGGTCAGATTTTTAAGAGCATGCATCTTTCCCATTGCAACTACGCCTGTGAGACCTGGACACTTACTAAACAAGCGGAACAGCGCATAAATGCATTTGAATATAAATGTTACAGACAGGTTCTAAGAATATCTTGGGTAAAGAAAAAGAACCAATGCATCCATACTTCAAGAGCTGAATATTGAAGAGGGTTGGCTAGTAAAGACAATAAAAAGAAAAAATTGAAATATTTTGGTCACTTGAAACGTCATGGAGGTCTAGAGAGAACAATAATGGAGGGGTATATGCCTGGGAAGAGAGGAAGAGGAAGGCCAAGGAGAAGATGGGTGCAGGATGTGGCAGATGATCTCCAGATGGGTGTATCAGACGCAGGACATCTTGCTCATGATAGGAAGGTTTTCCGGAGGGTTGTTATGGCAGCGAGGTTCCGCGAGGGACATGCTACTGAATGAATGAATATGTATTACTGGTTTTTGTCAGCTTAGCTTGGGTTTTACTAAAAATCACACGGGCAACCCTGCCTATGACAGTGTCAGACTTTGGCAATAACTGAAGAAAACGAGAGTAAACTAACCACGTGTGCAATAAGATATTTTAGAACTGTTTTGAACAAAACTATAAGAGATCACATGAGAAATGAAAAATAACCATTTTTATTAATAATAGTCACAGACGTTATTTAAGGATAAATACAGATATTTAGGTATCTAGCACATGAAAAATATCCAATGAAAGATGTAACACAGAGACAAAGAATAGAACAGGACAGGCCAAAATTGCATTTTACAAAATGAAGAACATTTTATGCAATAAATCCATGTCATTGGAGGTTAGGAAAATAATTCTCGCTTGCTATATAGAACCAGTTTCAACATACGGCTGTGAAGCCTTGACAATGTGTAAGCAAGCCGAATAATATCTTGAGGCCGCAGAAGAATCCTTAGAATTCTTTGGACAGCTAAGAGGAGCAGCCCATATGATTTGAAAGAGGCGAGTACTCGAAGACATCAGAAAGAGATTGTAAACTTTTTTTTTGGGGGCCATGTTATGAAAAGATAGAAAAGGGAACACACATGTTGCGACCACTGGAAGATCTGTAGAAAGAGAGACAGAGGAAGACAGCGTTAGAAGATTCTTGGGTCTTTCGTAATTGCACGGAGCGATGGTCAGCACACAAAATGATACACGCTGTTGCGGATCGCAGATTGAGGAGAGGCATGTCCGCACACACCAGTCGACAAGGCACTTGATTATGATGATGATTTGTTATAATTTATTTCAGATAAATATGTAAGTTGTATTGTTTCGAATAATGCTTTAATTTTGGCTGCAGTTATGAAATAAATTGTATTGTGAATATTGAGATAATCTTATTAACATTGCCTCATTAAAATGAAATTAATTTGAAACCAAAGCAATGTTTCCCCGTTGTAAATTTGAACAAAGAAGACACAAACAACAGATTGCACAGTTTATTGTCGCTGTATCTCGTCATGTGCATACTACAGTAACAATTACATAAATGAAGCAAATAAGTGAATCCTTTATAACTGAAGTACAATTTCAACAACGATCAAACAGGACTGCCTGTTTTTACCAGGGCAGCCGTAAAGACAGAACCATCTCTTTCTGAATACAGTTTTCTGGAATTAATTTAAATTGTGATATAAAAAATTAGATAATGTTACTAATATTGTGTCATTAAAATAGTGGATTTATAATGCCCTTAGTAAAATAATTGATTATCCTCACCGGTTTTATCCTTTGGAAGAATGCCACGGACAGTCTTTATCCTTTTGTACGTATGTGGATTTTAGTTCTAGCAATAAACTGATTGAGCTTGCCAAGCAGGTCTCTGGGGCTGTCTACATGCAATAAGTTTTCCATCGTCATAGGTCATTTGCGGAGATTCCCGTGTGGGTTCCGGGGCCCCAGTTTGGGAATCACTGGTCTAAACAATTTTCAGTTCCATGGCATTGTAAGTTCATCTGTTATCTGACTTTGTCTTTGATGAGGATTTAATAACTTTTAGTAACTTCAGACTTTGGTCCCAATTTAAAGAGATTTCTACCTATACACATTTTTTTAAAGCAGTGATTTGATTAGTAACCATGAGATGTCTGAGAAGGGCTGTAGGAGTGACCATAAGAGATAAGGTCAGGAATGAGATCATAAGAGAACAAGTCGGCACAGAACCAATTCTGGATTACATACAAAGACAGCAAGTGAAATGGTTTACCCACTTAGAGAGAATGCCTTGTGACACCATACCATAAAAAGCATACATGGAAAGAGAAGAAGGACGTAGAGCACGGGGTAGACCAAAAACAAGATGGAAGGATAACATCAGAGAAACTCTACAACAGCACGATGTGCCTATGGTCGAGGCAGCCAGAAGAGATAGAAACAGAACCTTATATCTCCCTCGACACCCACAGCGGTAAAAGAGGAAGTGAAGAAGAAGAAGAAGTGATTTGATATAATATTCAGCCTTGAACGGAGCCCGACGTTTTTTTTTTTTTAATGACGTTGGCTCCCGGGTCAACCGGCCAGGTAAATCCTGGGAACTAAAAGCGACCGGCTTGATGCTGGCCACATCGCCAACCAAGTGCCTACTGAGCTATAAAATACTGGTCTCGATGGTCCCAACGTGGTGTAGGGGCTAGACGCTCCCCCAGCGGATCGAAAGGCCGTAGGTTTCGGGTCCTAGCAGAACCGAGCTTGGTTAAAAAAATGACCTTGGCTCCCAAGTCGACCCAGCCTTGAGCGGGTACCAGGTGGAGTCTTAGGAAGTAAATTCAGCCCTTCAAGTGCCGATTTGTCTATAAAATACAATTCTAGGCCTGTATGTCCAATACGCATCAAGGGTCCTTTACTTTTACTTTGTGCCCAATACCTCTGAAGGCGTAACTTATTTTATGTGAAATGTCAGGATTTAAAAAGCACTGAAAAACATTTGAAAACTTTACACCGAAATGTTGTGGGTGATTTGATTTAAACGGATTAGTAAACAAAAACCGTTTTCCTGGTTTAGTCAATATACAAACTCACCACTCGACACACACACTGACTAACCGGGGGAGTTTTGTCACCGTTGTGCAGTGTTCTGGTTTCAGAATATGAAGAGCCTGGAGATGTGCTACACAGCTAGAGTTTCTAAACAATCCACGCTGTGTTTAGTAGTAATTATAAAGCAACTTAATGGAACACACAGGCGGAAATAATTTTTAATGAATGAACATCATCATGTGAATTGCCAATTTCACTTACTGTTTTCAGTTCTGAAATATATGTGATGTCATTTCAGTTACGGTCAATTACTTTTGTAGCAGTGTGGTCTGTGACTATCCACCAACCGTCACGATTGTTAAAATAATAATAAAGTAATAAATTAATCACAGTACACACCAGGTACCGTATATCACATATGGCCTAGAGATCATTTCATAGACCCCACATTATTAGATCATTACTCCGGGCATTACCGCCAATAACATCTGGAGTAATACCAAAAGTGGCAATAATGAATTGTAACAGAATATACGTAGGATCTCCCTGGCTAGTAATTATTGTGATCCTGAACATTGCTACATTAGCAGGATGTCAAAATGATATGGCTAGCAAGGGTAAGATTTGTCATTTTCAGATAAAGCAATGTTTTTCTTCATCTTCCTTCCTTCCTTTCCTTCCTTCCTTTCTTCCTTCCTTCCTTTTTTCTTCTTCCTTCCTTCCTTTCATGTTTCATAAGTCATAGGTTCAAAACCCCTGAGGTGAATTTTTTAAAACTAACTTCTACTCCCAGGTCAACTCAGCCTAAAACTGATATCAGGAAATATCTTGGGAGGTAAAGGTGGATGGATGGCAGGTTATTGACCACCTGCCACGCAGAATACTGATTGACCTACAAAAAGGTATGGCTAGCACAATATTCCCATCATACCCAAGGACATGGAACTGGGAATCTTAATATCATTGACAGGGGAATGCACTCAAGATGGGAAAATTGGATAAATAAATTCAGATAAACGCAGAAGAAGAAAAAGAAGTATGAAGAAGTTAACACCATATGCAGAAAAGCAAATTGGTACTCATCACGAACTTGCCCACACAGTGAGAGTTCCTTCCCCTCCAATTCATGCAGCGGCTGGTTGCAGGGCCTGTCCTATGTTGTGGGGGTGTTATGTATTCCTTACATGGTTTAACCGTTGTCTCTTTTCTCATGTTGTCACTGCTTACTTGTATCATTATTTCTATGTTGTGCTACTTGTCAGACGGTTCATGAGTATCAAAACTGGGATGTTTTTGTATTTCTACGTTCCTTGTCAGTGGCTTCTTTTTTTTTGCGGGTGGGGGGGGGGGGAGCCACCATCAAGGAATGTGGAAATACAAAAACACCCCAGTTTCGATACTCATAAATAGTCGCGCCTTCGGCACTTCCCACTGCCATACTTCTCACTTGTACACAGGCACCTACATTGCCTCGAAGAGACTCTCACAAATAAACTTCCCATAAACATTTAGAGCGAGGGAACACCAAACAAAGCCATCACATAACACTCTCACAACATAGGACAGGCTGTGCGATTGGCCACAGCATAAATGGGAGGGGAAGGAACTCTCCTCATGTGGGCAAGTTTGAGAGAAGTTCCAGCATACCAAGTATTGGGACAGCAAGTGCACACACCCCGCCCCCCCCTCTCCGCCCTCCCATAAGACAGCCCCGGTCAGCACAAGTAACATTTTTCAAAAATGACCTTGACTCCCAGGTTGCATTCCCAGGAAGTAAAAGCGGCTGGTGTGATGCTGACCACATCACCCATCTTGTCTAGACCCGATTGGTCTATAAAAATGTAGTCTAGCCCTATATGTCCTATACCCCTGAAGGTGTGGAAAAGGGACCTTTACTTTTTTTCACAAGTAACATTTCATACAGAACATATTGATTTCTCCCCCTGCTACCAGTGCCAGACACATGGTCACTGCCAGCAAACCACACAAGAAAATTGCTTACCATAAACATGAGATGTCTGAAAAGAGCTGCAAGAGTGACCAGGAAAGATTTAATCAGGAGAAGATCAAATCAGGAGTGAAATCATTAAATAAGAAGTCAGCACATAACAAATCCTATAATACATACAAAGACAGCAAATCAGATGGTTTGCCCAATAAGAGAGAATGCCTTGTGACACCATACGATAAAAGGCATACACCAAAAGAGAAGAAGGGTGAAGAGCACAAGGTAGATCAAGAATAAGATGGACAGATAACTTAAGAGAAACTACAACAGCATGATGTGTCTATGGTTGAGGTGCCCAGTAGCAAGAAGCAGAACTTTATATGAGTCTTGACACCTGAAATGCTAAAAGAGGAAATAAAGAAATATAGAAGAAGATAGGGAATGCAGTGATCTCTACAATACTGCCCAGGTAGTAATAAGTGCTGATGTTAGTGTTTATGATTACTGCTTTCATACAACTTTATATATTAAACAAAAATTTTTTCAATGTAAAGGAATACATTTTAAAAAGAACTGATCTGTGACCTGGGTAAAAAAAAATTTTGTTTTTATGAATTTTTTTCTGGAATTATAGATGAGCTTATGATTAACTCATTGAGTCCTAAGGAACGCATCATACATGCAAGATGTGCAGATTTTATGTCTCTTTTGACTACCCCTTAGGCCTGTGATGCTAAACCCCCTGGTACACAGAGGGTTAAATCAGTTCCTTCCATTGAACTGTCTAATCACAAATTGTGTTGTATTTATTACTTTAACTGTACCGCAATCAGCAACTTAAATCTGATAAAATAAATGACAAAGACATGTCTATGTTTCTGTGCTGTTTGTTTTGCAGGTTTAGTTGACTATTGTGTAGACTTGTACGATTTTGTACAAGTATTTTGTGGGGATCGTGATAATCCTGCAAGCTGTGTCCCATCATCGTGGTTGTGTGATGGGTTTGCTGATTGTAGCACTGGGTTTGATGAAACACCAGCCACATGTGGAAATGGTACGTCTTTTTTATTGTTATTGTTGTTTGTCTTTTGCAGTTTCCGTTGCTTTTTCCCATTTTGGAGGGGTAAATATAGACTTATTGCCCCAACAAACATATCATAAAAAGTGCCTGAGCAGGGTGTGTCTGACATTAGATATGTTTTGCCAATCGGCACAGATATTGCAGCTTAGATGTAAACCATGTTGTGCCAGCTTTCCTTTTAAGACGAAAGAAAGTAATTGCTTTATTTTGTTAAATTTGGACTAACGTAGCTGTGCAACTGATTAGATTTTTAAATATTTCAAACTAAGAAAATCAGTCTATGTAATCATTATTTTGTTATGAACGTCAACTAGTTTAACAAATTAGCTGTATGTGTGTGTCTGCATGTATGCGTGGGTCTGCATGTATGCGTGTGTCTGCATGTATGCGTGTGTCTGCATGTATGTGTGTGTCTGCATGTATGTGTGTGTCTGCATGTATGCGTGGGTCTGCATGTATGCGTGTGTCTGCATGTATGTGTGTGTCTGCATGTATGTGTGTGTCTGCATGTATGTGTGTGTCTGCATGTATGCATGTGTCTGCTTGTTTATGTGGGAATTTTATTTTTTTAGGGGTCTTGCAAGGAGCCGACATGACAGTCATGACTCCTCACTCTGTTCTGCCATTTGATATTTTAATTACTTTAATGTTGCTTATATTATTATTTATTGCTAAATTAAAGCTGTCAGCTTCCATATCTTCTTCTTTAGTGTTTACTGGCTGCAAACTCCGGTGGAAGTTGTGGCCTGTTATCCATTTCCGGACTTCAGTCTTGTTCTAGAACTTCAATTTTGCGTGCCGTCTATTTTATAGATCTAGCTTACTTGTGTACCTACTGTTGGTTTCTCACAACCTAGGCTGATGCATTCTGACCTTGAGGAGAAATCCAGAGTTAGTCATTTTCACGACATTCTTATTAGGGAGGCAGCGTGTCTATACCTTACTCCTTTCTCCCCGACAAAAATGGCGCCTCAGAACCAATATGGGGAGACCACATCTTAATATGTCTTATCTGCTTTTCTCTGTTGGTATTCTCCATAGATTTAAATTGAGAGTGCTTCAGAATAAGTGAATGAGAAAGCGAGGGAAGACACTGAACAGACAATGGACACAGTTCATTCTGGAGAAAGGATTGACGTCTTTCTTTAAAGTCGGAATACATCTGCCTGAGAGGTAGGGAACAAGAAACTGCACACAAATAAGTCAGTAAAATGAATGTACACGCAAAACTCAGGTCCTGGTACAAAGCCATAAACCAAATAGATGAACAAACAGGACTTTCCGCTGAAATTCACAGCTGGTGAATGCATAGAAGAAGAAGAAGAAAAAGAAAAAGAAGAAAAAGAGGAAGAAGAAAAAGAGGAAGAAGAAGAAGAAGACTAAACAAGATGTATATACAAATTTTAGTGAATGTAAAGCTAAAAACTGAAGTCATCAAACTATTGAAAGTACTCACAACATAGCGCTTAAGAACTTATAAGAGCTGTGTAAATATTTAGCATCCCTGTACAATTTATTTGAAAGATTATTTTATTTTTGTAAAAAAAAATATTTAAGTGTATTTTCTATTTCAGTGAATCCATGCCAACCAAACCCTTGTCTGAATGGGGGTGTATGTCATGGTTACTCTGCTCAACCAAATGTTTCAGTAGCGTATGCAGTTTGTGAATGTGCGGTGTCCTATTCTGGCCAGTGGTGTGAGACAAACTTGACCACTGCACAGCTTCCTCCAGGTAGAACTCGTCTTGCATTTCTGTTTTATAATAAGAAATACTAAAGCAGTGAATCCTTGATGCCATAGAAATAGTGTACTGAACAAATTGATATGTATTGATTGGCACTCATAGAAAGGAATGTGTTGAGTTTCAGGATTGATTTTTGGGGTGTCAAGCTGGTCATGCATCGAAGTACACTTGTTTCAACAGCCTATCGTGATTTAGAGGCGACGGGTTCCATTCCCGGTATAATAACTATGGATTTTGATCTTTATGTTGTCTAGTGTACACTCTTATCTGTCTGCTTCTTTCTTTATGTTTGTGTTTATTCAACAGATCAGCATCATGGCAAATGGGTGTAACCTATAAGTGCTCCATTCGACTTCTAACTCAAGGCCTGAGTCTGAAGAATCTCAGCGCAGTGCACAAACTGTTGCACCGGCGAGGGTCAGTGCACGACATTTTCCTGTGTGCGTTCCACGCCCTACTTGCACCGGCGAGGGTCCTGAAATACTTTAATTAGGGATTTTCAGTCGGACTGACCACTGGCACAGTCTGCATACAAATACGCCAAAGATTTTTCCTGTGTGCCTGGAGTTTGGAACAGGCCCAAAGCAGAAATGGTGAACACCAAGTTTACAGAAGAAGAAGATGTGCTCAGATTTAGGTTGGAATCTTTTAAAAAAGAATTACCTGGGCTTCCATGATGACACATCCTAAATTAGGGATAAGATGTTTTTCAAAGTAAAGACAACTAGCAATTTAAAGCTTTGGCCCTTCAAATGATAATACAAAAAAAAGTCATGAGCCTGTGGGAATTCCTTGAAAAAAAAAATCCTTAAAAAACTGTTACACAGGTCACCAATACATTTTTTAAAAACATTTATCTGTCTCAGAAAAAAACATTAAAAATTTGTTTTTAAACTTATTATGTTAAGATATGTAAATGGTTAAACGATAAACATGAACAAGGTGAAGCATTAAATGGAATACATTCCCCAGGGACTAAAAAAAAAAACAATCAATATGTATCAGGTGACTCATGCTTTGACCCAGTGACCTCTATCAATGAGGCTTACAGTAAAATTTGACTTCAGCTTGGCTTTAAAAATGCTATTGGTATCATAAAGACCCCTACGACCCCAGATGCTATTTTTAGTCACTATTTTAAACACTACGCAGGTGCACAGGCAACGAGTGAATTTAATTACATTTGTCAAGAACAGGTCACTGTAGACATGGCCCTACAACAATATTTACAGGGCTGTGTCGCAAACAGAATGACTAGATTTAGCCTTCTCAGGGCGACAGGGTTAAGGATGAATGCAGAAGTATATCTGCCGTTTAGCGTATTTAAAATGTTGTGCTGTCTTCATCTGCTTTAATTGTGCCTTATTATTATAACCGGAATACTATTTAACTGTGTTTTAATAAATTTTTGGTTGAATACAGTGGACGCGGCTGTGTGTACACCAAACCCTTGTGTGGCAGGAACTTGCACCCCAGTTCGTGGACCCAGCTACATTTGCAAATGCCTTCCAGGTAATATGTCAGAATGCACTGTTAATGTAAAAACAGAGAGTGACTTTAGCGACGAAACACTTTAATAAAGTGAACATGAAATGGGAATTGTTTAATAGTTCTACTTCCCTTGTTGATTCCTGAGGCCTCATCCGTAGATAAGAAAGAAAAAAAAAATGAATAAAACCAAATGACCTCTGCTCCCCCCCCCCCCCCCCACCAATTAGCAGTTGTAAAAGGGGACTAATTAGGAATTTGCTGCAATCTTCTTTTCTTAGCGTTCACCGGCTGTAAATTTTGGTGGATAGTTCTGGCTGTTCATCCATCTCTGGACTTTAGACTTGTTCCAGAACCTGAGTGTTGCATGCACATCCATTTTACAGATCTAACTTATTTGTGTGCAGACCATTGGTTCCTTGCCTCTCAGGCAGATGCAGTTCAACTTTGAAGGAAACCCCCTGTTAGTTGACTCCTACAACATGCTTGTTGTGGAGGCAGTGGGTCTATTCTTGTTTTCCCCACAATGGGGCCTCGGAACCCACACGGGGAGTTTGCTGTAATGAATATGTTGGACTGAAAGGTACAGATATTGAAGCCTAGCTGTAAACTACAACACAACATGCCAACCGGCCTTCTAAGATATGAATTATTTTATTCTTGAGGGCCATGATGTCGCAGTGGCCTTCAGGCTTGCCTGTCTGTTTGGTTGTCATAGGTTTCAAACCCCTTGATTTTTATTTAAAAAAATAACTAAGATTTTTTTGTTCTTATTCTTCTCTTCCTCTAGATTGTTACAGTAGTTTCTGAGAATTAAAAAAAGGCATTTCTTATTAACTCTTTAAGTACCAAACAACACACCATATTTACAGTCATCCTGAAAACATCATATCTGTGTTTCTGTAAAGTATAGTCAGGGCAACACTTTGTCTTCTACATTTTGTAGCACAGCTGCCTAATTTGTGTCTGTTGATGTCACATCAAGGTTCGTCTTTTGTTTTCTACAGAAGGAGTCAAATGAAGAATATAGACAAGGAGAAAGATGGCTGTGTCGATAATGGTGATGATAGTGGTCTCTCTTGCTCACTGCAGGCTTCTCACGTCACTGATACTTGTAAAATAAAATGTCTTGAAACAGCTCTTCTTTTCTATACTGTCTTTATTGTGATACTTCAGTAGTGTCAGAATTAACATCAGAATTTTCTGAATGGCCTCTGTTTTCGCTCTATGATTAGATACTCTTGAGGTCGTGTTGTGTTCTTCATCTCTAGTTACTTTGTTAACTGGTTCTAGTGTCTGTAACTGCCACCTGGCTTCTAGTGCTGTCTGGTACTAATGGTTTGTGTCTCTGTTGGCCATGGATCCATGCATCTTGTCTCTTGTCTCCTCTATAGTGAATGTCTTTGAGGCTCCATGTGACTGGTTCCTCTTCTTCTGGTGTTGAACTGGTATCTCCGCAACTGAAGGCTCTCATCTGCGAGGGTCCATATGACTAGTTCCTCCTCTTCTAAGTCTTGTAGACTGAAGGTTGCTCAAGTGGTATCTCAGCCACTATTTATACTGAGTCGTTGGCATGTGTGCAGTGTGTTTTCCACTCACTAACTGCTTCAAGAAGGTTCTAGTATGGCTCAACTTGTTTACTGTCTAGGTTCTCACTTGGGATTTTCTAACTGCATCAGATATCTCTACACCTAAATATACTAATTTAATTAACAGTTGTCCTTCAGTGTACTTCCGAATGCGAGTATCACAAGGTTCTCTCTCTTTGATATGGACGTCGACGATAACATCAGATGCTATTTATAGATTATTCATTTGCAAATATCTCTCTGCACGTGATGTTTCTAGAAAGGGAATGACCTAATAATTTCAGTCCCTTCAACTAATATGCAATATCCTACCTACTAACAAACAAGTGATGATGTTTCCCTGTTACAGTTTTGCTTTATATTTAGTCACTGAGGATGTAGTATACCTATGTGTTTTCATTATTGAGGAGTTAGCTATGCATGTTCTAGGACTAACAAATTTAATGAAATTTTGACAAATGTCTTTTTTTTTTTTTTTTTAAAGATTCTCATGGGGAAAAACAAAAGGGTTAGTGTTATTATTGTGATAAAAGAGTTAAAAGTTGTAGGACAGGTGTCTAATTACCTACACTGATTCTTCTGATAAGCCCCTGTGCATGCTTGTTTCCCTAATTAGGACATAGTTGTTAATATACTTCTCATACATTTGTAATGAAGCCATTGGGGTAGATTAACTTTAGCATGCTTCATATCCTGAGTCAATAGTTCAAATTTCTTAGATCATAGTAACCATTATGTTATTATATAGTACAGTATATATAGTATATTGTACAGTTCAGATAAGTTGCCCCTGCTTACTGTTAGTGTATTTTTCTTTGGTGGGTTGCATACTAGGAAAAAGTCTCATGTTCTGAAGAACATGATTTACTACTACCTGGCACTGAAGTGGATATGGGCAGTGTACGCATCCCAGCATAGTTGGTGGGCATGTTTTGTTCAGGTTGAGGCCTTAATTGTGGGATGAGATTCTTTTAGCCTGATGCAGTGCAAAAAGTGAGAATTAAAAGCAACAGCTGAATGCAGTTGAGTTTATCCCTGTCGCCTCATCAGTCTGAAAAACCGACACTTCCAGTTGGGGCCAATTCACTTTTCCGACCTGTCTATAGTGACCTGTTTATGAAATATATAGTTAATGCTGTAGGCTGTGTTCACACCTACACATAGTTTTATGAGGTTTGTGAGGTCAGGATTTAAATATGTGAGCTAAAATAATAACATTTAAAGGAGTTTCTTTCAAACCAAATAGGTCTTTTTAAAGCCAAGATGACATCAAAGTTACCTGTAAGCCTCAGTGATTTCTTCTTCTTCGCGTTCACCAGCTGTAAACTCTGGCAGAAAGTTCTGGTTGTTCGTCCACTTCTGGATTGCAGCCCTGTTCCAGAGCTTGAGTGTTGTGTGTGTGCATCCGTTCAACAGATCTGACTAATTTATATGCAGACTGTTGGTTAATTGCCTCTCAGGCAGATCCAACTTTGAAGGAAGCTCCCACTTAGTCAACATGCTTTTTTTTTTGTCCGGGTCGGTCTCCCAAATGCCCAGCCTGGCCGCCCGACTACCCGAAGGATATTACGTCGGTAATCCAGACTGAGCGGGGAAACCGCCCGACAGATTTTTTAAGATGGCATTGCCGATTGGGTTTCTCCCGTGACTTGGTTATGACCGATCCCGGGCTCTTTTGGCCAGACCAGTGCAGCAAAGCTACACTTTGATCTTAGTCAAAAGGCCGTTCCCACATGGTTGTGGCCCTTGTTATTTTAAGTGTTTTTAAGGCGAAAGGGTAAATGAAAGGTCAGGTAAGGCAGAGAAAATAATAAAGTAAAAGTAAAAATAGTTGTAAGGCACATTCAGTTATTCTTCTTCTTTTTCAGCGATCTCTGGTCATGCACATAATCCACTGTGGGTCATAAACTGGGATGTCTTGTCAAGGTCACTTAGGTTTCCCCAAAGCTTAGTTGACAGTTCTACTGGGTGTTGCCATATGCTGCTCCGCAGCTCCGCCAAGAGAGGACAGTCTTGCAGGACATGTTCTGTTGTCTGTTCAGCACGAAGACACTGGCAGAGAGCTGTTTGGCTCATACCTAATTTATATGAGTGTTTATTGAGTCTGCAGTGTCCAGTACGTGAGCGAAAAACTGACTTGGTCTGTTCTGTTCAGGTGTTTCAGAAAATCTTTTTCGTAGTTATAACCAGTGTTGGTTTTCCAATCCATTCAATTATTGAGGTGAAGTGTTTAACAAAGAAATTACCAGAAGCAGAAAATGTATGTAATGCATGATATTAATTAGGAAAAAAGTTGCTTATTGGATTATCATTTTTGTTTATTTGAAATGTACGCAGGATACATAGGAAATAATTGCGATGGTCTTGCATCCGCATGTGTGAGCCAGCCTTGTTTAAATGGAGGGACTTGCACGGTACAAACATTTTTTGTCTTTCTTTTCTCTTATATTGCTTTACTTTATTATTTAATAAAAGGGCTGCGTGGTCTCGAGGCATATTGTCCGAGTTTCAGGGTTCAATCCCCGGTAAGGGCTGAGATTTTTTTCTCGTGGACATGAACTTCTAGTAATTCCCCCCTAGTCTCTGGGTAGCGAGATCAGACGCCTGTGTGCATTGTTGCGCACATAAAAAATCCCTTGGCAGCTAGAAATCGAAAAGAGTAGCCTAATGGCGCTGCCCAGGCAAAAATTTTGAGTTAAAAATCTACCCAAAGTATTTCAGGATCCTCGCCGGTGCTGCCGAGCCTGTGTACTGTGCTGAGCTTCTTTGGTCTCAGATCTGAGTTAGAAGAAAGAACAGAGCACTTATGGGTTACTACCTGTATGCCATGATGTTGATCCATTGTTCAAACCTCAAACGTCAATTATCTAATAGTACTGGTATGATATTTATGTAAATTAAGTTTGTTTATAGGGACTGGATGGGACACATGTAGGGAAAACTAGTTGTTTCATATATAGTCTCTGTTTTGGATTACAAAAGTGAAAAGAAATTTTGGTAGGTAAGATTAGAAAGAAAAAAAAAGTTTTTTTGAAAGGCATGGACAGAATTTGAAATGATGGCTCTCCATTTGGACTCCAGGACCCCATTGTGGGGAAAACAGAGTAGACTTGTTGCCTTCCTAACAAGCATGTCATAAAAGCAAAATAATTAGGGTGTCTCCTTCAAAGTTAGAGTGTATCTGCCTGAGAGGGGAGAAACCAACAGTCTGCACTAAGCCACATCACCAGGTATAGTCCTGGGAGATAAAAGTGGCCGATGTGATGTTGACAACATCACCCACCAAGCGCATATTGGTCTATAAAATATAGGTCTATTCCTGTATGCCCAGTATGCTTGAATGTGTTGAAAATGGTCTTTACTTTCCTTCCTTTTCTAATTCTCATCCACATCCACAGAATACCAGCAGTGGTTACATTTGCTCCTGTGCTCCAGGATGGGCTGGTGCTGTGTGTAATGTAGTAGTTGATGCTTGTAACGGCATAGTCTGTAACAATGGAGGCACCTGTGTTAAGAACGGGAATACTGGAGTCTGCATCTGCCCTCTGGGTTATTCAAGTACTGCAGTATTTTATTTCTAGTTTGACTTATTAAAAATGTTTTCTTGTCATGAATGTAAATAATGAGGACTCTTGGCAAGGGACAATGTGTTTTCTGTATTTATGACGATGTGTTTTCTGTATTTATGACAATGTGTTTTCTGTATTTACGACGATGTGTTTTCTGTATTTATGATGATGTGATTTCTGTATTTATGACGATGCATTTTCTGTATTTATGATGATGTGTTTTCTGTATTTATGATGATGTGTTTTCTGTATTTCACTTAAAAGGATTTCAGTTTGAGATGTTTTATTGAGTCAGGACAAGAGAGATATTGTAAGGGTCCTATGAGAGTGAACAGTGCCGAAGCACAAATAGATCATCACGGTCTAAACGGTGTAGCGAGCGAAGAGTGACCAGAAGATCTGGCAGACTCTCAACACTCAAAGGAAAGGCAAGATGAATATACAGTCAAACTACTACTAGTGCCTTTCGAAGTTGAACTTTGCGCTTGCTGCTGAAGATGGTGACGGAACGCTTATAGGAATGTTCAGAGTGCTGTGATGTCAATTCTTAATTCAGCATTAAATAAAAGGGTTCATGCTCTGCGCTTTACTATAGCTTCACTATATTTTCATGTACACTCTTTGGTAATGCATCTAAGAGATACAGATAAGCATACCGGGCAGTAAATTATTTTGCCTATGTTTAATGAAAGGAAAGTCGGCGTGGCGTAGGGTCTAGATGCTCACGTGCGGATCGGAAGGTCGTGGGTTCCCTCCCTGGCAGAGCTGGACTATTTCCAAAAATGACCTTGACTCCCAGGTTGACCCAGCCTTGAGTGGGTACCGGGTGCAGTCCCAGGAAGTAAAAGTGGCCGGCATGATGCTGACCACATTACCCATCTTGTGCAGATTGTTCTGTAAAAATATAGGTCTAGCCCTGTATGCCCTATAAGCCTTAAGACGTGGAAAAGGGACCTTTACTTTACGTTACTTATGTTTAATGAAAGTAAATGTAAAATATAAATACAAAAGGAGGGAAGAAATAAGAGAAATGTTCTGTTCAACCACTAGTATCAACAGTTATAACACGCACACAAGATGGAGCTAAAATGAATTCATTCTGAGAAGAGACAGAGAACCACCAGACAGGCACTGAAATGGGAACTAGAGGGATTGAGGAACTGAAAACATCCAAGAGAAACCCTGAGGTGGTCATTGACGAGAGAAGCCAGAGGTGCTCAATTGGATTCCATTCATTATGTCAAAGTGACTCCACAATATAGAACAGAATGGAGAAATAGACTCTGGGCCGTTTGCAACAATTATTGACACAGTAGGACAGTAAATTATCACTAATGTAGAGCTTTGGGAGAGAACTAAGCAAGCTGTAGTGGACCAAGAGGTGAAGAAAAGACACTGGCGTTGGATAGGACACACATTGAGAAAACCGGAGAACAATATAACTAGAATGTCTTTGCATTGTATGTGACATTTATTGACACAGTAGGGCAGTGAATTATCACTAATGTAGAGCTTTGGGAGGGAACTAAGCAAGCTCCAGTAGGCCAAGAGGTGAAGAAAAGACGCTGGCGTTGGATAGGACACACATTGAGAAAACCGGTAAACAATATAACTAGAATGTCTTTGCATTGAAACCCACAGGGACATTGGAATAAAGGAAGGCCAAAAAATACATGGAGAAAGCAGCTGGAGAATGAATTTAGAAAGATGGGGAGGACATGAGGAGAGCTGCATGCAATAGCAAAGGATAGAAGGACTTGGCGTGAGTTGGTTGAGGGCCTATGCTCCATTGGTGGCTAGAAAGGTAGAGGAAGAAGAAGGACAGTAAATTACACATAAAGTAAAGGACCTTTTTCCCAGATTTGAAGCGTATTTTGCATTTACATATTAAAAAGAAGTCTTAGTTTGCAGGTTCCAGATGTGAAGTGAACATTGATGACTGCACCTCCCAACCATGTTTGTATGGTGGCACCTGTGTTGATGGCATCAGGAACTTCACTTGTTTGTGTGTGGCAAACAGAGTCGGACAATTCTGTGAGCGACAAGAAATGTGTATAGGTAACACTTTTTTTTGGTTTTTGTTTTTGTTTTAGTTTGAACTTCTTTTTCTTCTTCTTCTTCTTCTTCTTCTTCTTCTTCCTTTTCTTTTCACAGGCTTTGAACTGCGGCTGAAAGTCATGGTTGCTCTCCACTTCTGGACTTTGGTGTTGTTCCAGGAGTTGAGTTTTTCAATGCACATCCATTTTAATGATCTGGGTTATTTGTATGCAGATTGTTGGTTCCTCGCCTCTTAGGCAGATGCTCTCAGACTTTGAAGCAAACGTTAGCCCCAGCTGTGTTAGACAGCCCAGCCCACCCCTGTTGAAAACCTGTTTCAGAGGTGACCACGTAGAGGTGTAGATATGTCTTGATCAGTTTGAGGCTTGGTCCTGGTACACCACCATGTATGGAACCTGGTGCACCACACCACCATGTATGGAACCTGGTGCACCACACCACCACATGTGGCACCTCTGCATCCCTTAGAAAGAATAAAAATGGAAAGTATATTCCTTTGAAGAAGAGGCAGGTGTTAACCAGCACAGTGGTAGATGAGGTTATTAAAAGCTTCCTGCTCATGAACATAAATGAAGCTGGAGAACTAGCAAACAGTTGAGTTTTTTTAGCAGCTTGTGGTGCAAGTGATATTTAGAGAAAGTCCCACTGCATGATAATGATGAGCTTCTGAATTTAAATTAGAGAAATATAAAACATTATTGAGTTATATCATCTTCTTCTTCTTATTTTTCTTCCTCTTCTTCTCCTTCTTCTCCTCCTCTCCTCCTTTTTTCTCCTCCTCTCCTCCTCCTTTTTATTCCTTAATTCCTCCTTTAATATCTACATCTTTCATACACTCCTCCTCCTCTCCTTCTTCATCTTCTTTTTCTTCTTCTTGTTCTTTTTCTTCCTCTTCTTCTCCTTCTTCTTCTCCTTTTTCTCCGCCTCTCATCCTCCTCCTTTTTATTGCTTAATTCCTCCTTTAATATCTACATCTTTCATACACTCCTCCTCTTTTTCTTCTTCTTTTTCTTCTTCTTCTTCATCTTCTTCTTCTTCTTCTTCTTCTTCTTCTTCTTCTTCTTCTTCTTCTTCTTCTTCTTCTTCTTCATGTTCACCATCAATAAACTCCTGCGGAAAGTTTTGGTTTTACGTTCGCGTTTGAACTTTATAGTCTTATTGCAAAACTTTAATTTTGCGTGCACATTCATTTGACAGATCTCATTTATTTGTATGCAGACTGTTGGTTCCATGCCTCTCAGGCAGATGCACTCCCAACACTTCCCAATTCATTGACTTTTATGACATGCGTGTTAGGGAAACAGTGGGTTTATTCTATTTGTTTGTCCCTTCACTGGTACTCCAGACATCCACATGGGGAAAATAAATGATATTATAATGTAGACTTTTGTAGAGGAAAACATAAAACGCTCCTGAAAGTAAGCCCAAAGGTATCTTTTGGAGCAAATATTAATATAAGACCTAGTCTTACTTTGTTGAGAAACACAGTAGGTGATAAACTTGAATCACGGTGTCAGTGTTAATGTTTTCTGTTGCTTTATCCCTCCTTTAATGTCTACATCTTTCATACACCTGCTATAAGTGCTAATATCTGGTATTTATTGTTTATCATCATCATCATCATCAAGTGCCTTTCCAGTTGGCATAGGCGTTCATGCATCTTCACAGATCTTGGTCTTTGGTGTTCTGGATTAATTCCACTGATGATATTTCTCCATGCCACTGTCTTAAGCCATCCACCACAATTTATCTTTCCAGTCGTCATGATATTTTCCAGTGCTTCTTTTTTCATCACATAACCAAAGAACTTTGTCTCCTTCTCATTGTTGTATATTATGTTCTACTTGTTTATGCTATATCAGAAAAGAAGCAGATAACATTTGTGTAATATTTTTAGTCATATAAGAACCCACCTGTTTGTTTTTAGATAATCCCTGTAAAAATGATGCAGTCTGCCTTCCTGCAACCAGCAGTGGTGTTCCTCCATCTTGTGTCTGTCAGGAAGGTTACACAGGCCCGCTCTGTGAGACAAACATAGACGACTGCAGTGGGAATCCATGTGGAAGTAATGGTAAGTGCTGTTTTGTAGGTTATAAATTTTTTGTTTGTTTTGGTTCCATGTATAAAACAGTATGTTTCCCAAATTATTTTAATCTTACAGTTGCGGGTCGTCCTATGCACAGAATATGATTAAAATATTTATTTCTCAGCTCTTTCAGTCCCAAGCATATGTTTATCTTAAAAGCAGTGTAAACTTGGGTCTGAATGAGCAATCAAGATATTATGGGGCAGAAGTAATTAAATTAATAATTCAGATGCAAAGAGTTCATATTAAAACTAAAAGAAAAGAGTAGGAAAACAATGAATTTTTGAAATCGCAAAGAAATGTATGGTATGTTGTTTGGTACTGAAAGAGTTAACTTTGTGCTCAAATAAAAGGAGTCGTCCTATACTTGGGGGCGTCTAATACACGGAAAAATATGCTAAACTGAGAGTTTACTGCTTCAGCTGGAAATATGACCTATGCTTTTCTATAGATTAAACAGAGCATATACTTTTTTCAGCAGGCAGTGGTAGCATAGTAGCTAGATGCAGACTGTTGGTCCCTCATCTCTCAGGCAGATTCACTCTTGACTTCGAAAGGAAACACCCCTGATTGGTGTGATTTTACAACATGCTTGTTAGAGGGTGGGGGCAGTTGGTAAATCCCACCCCCCTCACAAAGGGGCCCTGAAACCCACATGGGGGTGGGGGGTGTTGGGTATATGATGTTAGCCTCATGGTGCTAGCATTTAATATTTGTTGTGGTCACTATTACCCCAGCTTTATTTACTTCCTAGACCTGAATTATTTAAGTTGGATGAGAGGCAGCCGCCGTGGCAAAGCAGCTAGATGCTCGTCGCCGATCGGAAGGTCATGGGGTCGCTCGCCGGCAAAGCCGGACTTTTTTCAAAAATGACCTTGGCTTCCAGGTCGACCCAGCCTTGAGTGGGTATCAGATGCAGTCCCGGGAAAGTAAAGGCGGTCGGCGTGATGCTGACCACATCCCCCATCTTGTTCCGATTGGTCTATAAAAATATAGGTCTAGCCCTATATGCCCTATAAGCCTAAAGGTGTGGAAAAGGGTTCTTTACTTACTTACCTCCCCCGAGAGAAGCTTTGATATCTTCAGATTCTCAAAAATGTCCTGCTATTTGCCATATCTCATGTGTGTACACAGAGCACACATGCATGTATTTGTACACACCTTAAAGTCCATGTAGTTAAAAAAAAAAATATGATACAGGACACTGAGATGTATTAGTTAAAATCTAAATATAAAGAAGCGTTAGACATTTGTATTATACTTTCAGGAAGGTGCATTGATGGCATCAGGTCCCATACCTGTGAATGCAATCCTAATTACACAGGCAGCAGCTGTGAGCTATTGCTAGATCCATGTTCTTCAAACCCTTGCTTGAATGGAGCTTACTGCTGCCGAAAGGGGAAAGTACAGTGCTCTTCTGATTTGCCAGCTGGGTATTATGAATGCTATTGCAGTAATGGTTTTACAGGTGAGGCTATTTGTATGTGCATCATGAATGTCATCCATATATTCTTATAACATGAGATTCTTCTTCTTTTTCTTCTTCTTCTTCTTCTTCTTCTTCTTCTTCTTCTTCTTCTTCTTCTTCTTCTTCTTCTTCTTCTTCTTCTTCTTCTTCTTCTTCTTCTTCTTCTTCTCTTCACCCTATTTCTTCTTCTTCTGTTCACCCTACTTCTTTTTCTTCTTCTTCACAGGCTGTAAGCTCCAGGGGAAAGTTCTGGTTGCTCGTTCATGTGGACTTCAGCTGTATACCAGGGCCTGAGTTTTGCATATACATCCATTTTACTGTCTTTTTCGTGTGCAGTTGTTCATTGCCACACAGGCAGATGCACTCCGAATTCAGTGGAGGGTCCCAATTAGTCCACTGTTACAACAATCTTTTTAAGGTAGAAAGTGGCTGTATTCTTGTTTTCTTCACAATGGGGCCCCCAAAACCCACTCAGGGATTTTGTTCCCCCAAAATGGATTATCTATATCTACAGTATTGCGTCTAGTATGAACTTCACTGTCGTAATTGACTTAGCGACCCATAAAGTTTGGTTTTCACCGGTGTTTCTCTTGGCCAGAAGTTTTGCATTGACATGTTGCATTAGGGACAGTCTTGGAGGAAGTGATCCATTGTCCCAGGTGCCAGTTTCCAAGTGCACATGGCTGATTGGCCAATCTTAACTTGAGAATAAAATCACTGCCTGAATTGCTTATCATCATGATCATCCTCATTATCATTGTCCTGTTGTGCCATTATATGTCACATAGGGCTTGCAGTCTGTTTCTCCATTTCACCCTATCCTGTGCTGTCCTTTCAACATCATGGATGCAGTTTGGTCCGGCACTGTGTCCCCTCTCATCAACATTTGTTTGAGGGTTTCTTATGGATGTCCTTGCTTCCTCAGTCCTTTTATTTCCCATTTTAGTGTCTGCTTAGTGATTCTCTGCTTGTTTCTTCTCAGGATGTTTCCAATATAGAGCCATCTTCTTTGTCTTGTAGCTGTTGTTACCAGCGATTGCCCAGACATTTCACTCATTTCTTCACCCCTGTTGATTTCATCCCATTTTATCTTCAACATTTTCCTGAGCTATTTTCATTCTCTTCTACTTTGACGTTAGCTTTATGAGGTTAGTTGATAAAAGCGACCCCCAGATTAAATGTAAATTATTTATAGAAGTTATATGTAGACAGTCTATGTTGTCCCATCAGGTTATGAGCAACAGTAGACGCAAGGACTGGTGATCGCATGAGACAGGGACATATGACTGCCTACACTTATATGCATGGCACAGGAAAATGATGTTGATGATGTTTAATCAAATATCTATAGTGTTACAGTTATAAAAGTAGAATAAATCAGTTTTAAAAAAATAACATGTTTCAGCAAGTGATTTTATTGGGTTTTAATATTTTTCATTAGTTTGTATTAATCAGAATGCTACTGGCACCATTAGTATCGGAACTCTTCTCTGGCTGCTGACGATGGTGATGGAGCGCTTATTGGAATGCTGTGATGTTGGTTCTTGAATCAAATCAAATCATTATTTTTTATGAGGCAAATCTAATAAGGACTATTTTTGTGGCCAACTCTACTGCTGGTGTCCAACAGGGACCCTGACTGCAACTAATGTGTGCAAAATAATAAAAACAGAAATGTGATGTTCTAGAGGAGAGGCCAGAGTAACAAGGAAAAAAAAAAGTAAAGTAAAGACATCAGAAAAAGACAAGGATTGAAACAGGTCATACATTTTAGTAAAGTGCAAGAGTTGAGATGGTTTGGCCATCTGATGAGAATGCCTTGATGCCAGCTGCCAAAGAGAGCCATCCTGAAGAAGTATGTTGAAGCTAGAGCAAGGGGAAGATCATGCAAAAGATCAAACAACAGCTTCAAGAACAGCCTTAAATAAAGAATCAGCCTGTGCAATGTATTAGAAAGAACACGCATAAGATCCTTATATCTCCCTCTAAAACTGCCATGATCCTTATATCTCCCTCTAAAACTGCCGTGATCCTTATATCTCCCTCTAAAACTGCCATAAGATCCTTATATCTCTCTCTAAAACTGCCATGATCCTTATATCTCCCTCTAAAACAGCCATGATCCTTATATATCCTTCTAAAACTGCCATGATCCTTATATCTCCCTCTAAAACTGCCATAAGATCCTTATATCTCCCTCTAAAACTGCCATGATCCTTATATCTCCCTCTAAAACAGCCATGATCCTTCTATCTCCTTCTAAAACTGCCATGATCCTTATATCTCCCTCTTAAACAGCCATGATCCGTATATCTCCCTCTAAAACAGCCATAAGATCCTTATATCTACCTATAAAACTGCCATGATCCTTATATCTACCTATAAAACTGCCATGATCCTTATATCTCCCTCTAAAACTGCCATGATCCTTATATCTCCCTCTAAAACTGCCATGATCCTTATATCTTCCTCTAAAACTGCAATGAAGTAACTGGAGAAAGAGAAGAAAAAGAATTAAAAAAAAAAAAAATTATTGGCATAACTGATCATATCTTCTTAATATGTGTCATTTTTTAACAGGAAACAACTGTGAGCTGCATGTACCAGCTTGTTCATCTTCTCCATGCAAAAATGGAGGACTCTGTTACACTTACAACAGAAGTTACAACTGCACATGCCCTTTGAATTTTAATGGTCAGAACTGTGAACTCTCGAATCCCTGTGGTAGCAGCCCTTGTCTGAATGGTGGAGTCTGTACCAACTTGGCAACTGGAGGGTTTTCATGTCTGTGTCTTCCCGGATATTTAGGAACACAGTGTGAGGTAGCCAGCTGTGTTACAACTGGTTGTCTAAATGGTGGGTCTTGCAAGACTTTGAGCAACGGAACTAACTATTGTGAATGCATGAAAGGTTATAGAGGATCTCGTTGTGAATCAACCTTCCCATGTGCCACACAGATCTGTCTGAATGGTGGAACATGCTTGGATATAACTCCATACAGTTTTCATTGCAACTGTGCTAATGACTTTGGTGGAACTTACTGTGAAACTGAAGAACCTTGTAAAGCCAAGCCATGCAGGAATGGAGGCAGATGTGTCAACAATGGGACTAGCTATAGCTGCAGATGTCCAACTGGCTATAGCGGGGTCCACTGTGAAGCGATCATGGTTTGTACTGCAGGACACATGCCTCAATGGGGGTACGTGCACAGAGAATATCCCAACTTTCCAGTGCAATTGTCCTGTAAGCTATACAGGATCTAGATGTGAAACATACCTTGCTTGTGCCAGCAACCCATGTGTGAATGGAGGTGTGTGTGTCAACAACGGGACTAGCTATACCTGCAGATGTCCAGCTGGCTATAGCGGGATCCACTGTGAAGCACTTTTGGCTTGTACTGCAGACTCGTGCCTCAATGGCGGTACGTGCACAGAGAATATTCCAAGTTTTCAGTGTTCTTGTCCTGTAAGTTATACAGGTTCTAGATGTGAAACTTACCTTGCATGTGCCAGCAACCCTTGCCGGCTGAACTCTGCTTGTATCAACAAGAACAATACTTTTGATTGCATTTGTGGACCAGGGACAACAGGAGCTAACTGTGAAACTATCCTGCCCTGCATCTCTGCTCCTTGCCAGAATGGTGGTGAATGTAACAATGTTAATAATACATATGTCTGCCAGTGCCCTAGACAATATACTGGAGTTAACTGTGAGGTTTACCTTCCCTGTGCTAGTTCTCCATGTTTAAATGGAGGGAACTGTACCAACCAAGCAGCAGCTTATGAATGTCATTGTCCTGATCAATTTTTAGGAAACAGATGTGAAATTTCTCTGCCTTGTCGCAGCCAGCCATGTTTGAATGGAGCAACTTGTGTCAACAATGCAGGATCATTCTCCTGTGTCTGCCCAGAAAACTATACAGGAAACCTTTGTGAATATTCTGCACACCCCTGTCAGAATCTGCCTTGCCAAAACAGCGGTAGCTGTATGGAAACTGGGCAGGGGTTTTCCTGCATTTGTCCTGCCACTTTTGTGGGTCCCACGTGTGAGATCCCTGTTCCGTGTAGCAGCTCACCTTGTCATAACAATGGCACCTGTTTCAACAAGCAGAATGACTTCATGTGTATCTGCCTGACAAACTTCACCGGCTCATCCTGTGACTCAAAGTTGCCCTGTGCCGACACACCATGTGTCAATGGAACATGCATCAATGTCAATGAAAGCTTCTTTACTTGTGAATGTTATAGCGGTTATAGAGGGCAGCTGTGTGATGAGAGAATTCCAGACTCCACCTGCAGTCCTCAGACATGCATCAATGGACAGTGTGATGTTACCGGAGACAGTGTGAATTATTGCAGGTGTAACAATGGTTTCTCAGGTATGATGTCTCTTACAAGCATTTCCAAAATGTTCACTGTCCATTTAAGTCACTGTGACACTTTGTAGAAAATATATTTACTTAATTTTGTACCAGTAAAAAAATTAAGACACTTAAGACATTAATATAATTATTCAAATATTTCAAATTATTTCTTTGAAAAATATTAAAATAATGATTATCCTGCAGGAGATAATTTAATATTCGTATTCTTCTTCAGCATTCCGAGCTCTTGAGGTTCAATGCTGCAGATATCGCCCACCTCCATTCATCTCTCTAGTTGGCCTTATCTTTCAAGTTTGGTGACACCAAGTGTTTGCGAGTCTGTCTGGATATTATCTTTCCATCGTCTTCTTGGTTTGCTTCCTGGTCCTGATCATTCAGCTTCCTTGTGGTTTTTACCTCTCTGTTATCTGACATTCGCTCAAATGCCCTAGCCATTTCAGTCTATTAGTTCTCATGATGCCGGTGATCAGTGGTGATTTTAACAGATTATGAATTTCATTGTTGCTTCTTATTTTTCATTCCCTGCTGTTTGCATCTTTGATGGGTCCAAAGATTCTTTGTAAGACTCGGTTTTCCAAAAAATGTGTAATAAGGCTTCATCTCTTTTAGTTGTGCTCCAATTTTCTGAGCCATATAAATGACTGGTTTTATAATTTTAATATAACTTTTAGTATATTTTTATTACATTTCTTGGGTTTTATTATAATGTTGGACCAAGAAAAAAATATAGTGCGTTTTTTCTTGCCTGTGGTTTTTTTAAATTTTTTTTTAAAATTACAAATTCAAAATAATATATTTAAAAAAAAACATACTTTTTCTTCTTCTTCACTTCCTCTTTTACCGCTGTGGGTGTCGAGGGAGATATAAGGTTCTGTCTCTAGCTCTTCTGGCTGCCTCGACCATAGGCACATCGTGCTGTTGTAGAGTTTCTCTGATGTTATCCTTCCATCTTGTTCTTGGTCTACCTCGTGCTCTACGTCCTTCTTCTCTTTCCATGTATGCTTTGTATTTAAAAAAACATTATGACTTGCAAAGATATCATAATTATCATGCTTCACATTTTTGTTTATCTGTTTCTATTTATCTCTTATGAATTAACAAATGTCAAGCTAAAGGCAGTATAAATTAACTCATAGTTGTGAAAACAGGATCATCAACTTTCTTGAGTTAATATTAACTGAAAAATTGTGAGAACGCAATCATCAATCTTGACAGGTAGTAAAATATTCAGTATTTCTACCAGCATTGTGTTACTGATGCCACATGTGGACATCACCACCACGAACAACAACAACAAAAAAGCAAAATTTATACAATACAAATGAAATGTCTATAAGAAAATCCTAAGTGTAACTAGATAGGACAGAATCAGAAATTATAATATCAGGAAACAAGCTGGGACAGAAGCAGTACTAAACTACATCAAGAAACAACCGATAAATGGTTCAGACATGTGTCAAGACTGCCATCAGACAGTGCACCACAGAGAGCCCTGTCATTCAGATGCGAAGAAAGCAGATGCTAGAGGTTGACCATGCAACTTATGGATAGACAGAAAATCTGAGGCCATAAATCCCAGCATCTACGCAGCACGTACCAAAGCCTGCAACCGACGCCTCTTCAAAACCTCATGCTGAAAGGCGAAACAGGACCAGGGAAGAAGAAGAAACAATACATTGTTTATTTTAACATATTATCACATGATTATTACGTGTGTGTTACATAGCTACGTGTGTGTGTTACATTGTTACCTGTGTGTTACATTGTTACATGTGTGTTACATTATTACGTGTGTGTTACATAGTTACGTGTGTTACCGAGGCCCATTAATTGAGCAAAAATAGTGACGACTGCCATACATGAGAGGTTACCAAGAAGGGTCGACATGAGACTGGCTGCCTTATCGGGTAGAAAACGTTAGCTGCTAAATGTAAGCAGTCATGAACATATGTACCGAACAAGCTTGGCATAATGTGGTTGAGGGCTTGTGCTTCAGTGGAAAACAAGAAGAAAAATGACATAAATTGTGTGTGTATGTGCATGTGTGTGTTAGAGAGAGAGAGAGAGAGAGAGGAAGCAAAGAAGAACACAAACATAGCTACTGACACATGCCCACTTATAGGTTCACACTTTTTTGCATGTTTGTTCACATATACTCAGATACTATTAAAATAACCCTTTGGGATGTAGTTTTTTTTTTGGAGTTTCAGTGCCAAGAAGACAGAGCCTCCAAGAGGGGATTCTCATAGTTTATACACTAAAAATTATTAAAAATATATATATAATTAACATTTGCAAAACTATATATTCGTGTAGGAAATTGAATGAACTAACAGAATATTTATTAGTCAAACTGAAATCTCAAGATTTATTCAAATTAACTATTCTGATTTGCATAATTTATGCAAGCAATTTTTTTTTTAAACTTAGCGACAAACATAACTAACCTGAAAAATTTGGGTGAAATTTTTTTTATGGATCAAGCTTGAACACCTGTATTTTGGGAAGTAAGGCCATTGAAAGCCCTTCAGACACATCTGGCACATGGTTCTACTCATTTTCCTGCCTTCAGCTATGTTTCAGTTGCTATGATGCAACAGTCCTTTCTGCCATTTTTTTGCCCCAGAAAAAAATTGATGTAAAATTACAGAACACATCAAACTTTCTTGAAAGCCACCAATGAACAGCCCACATGTACAAGAAATGCGAGAAGCGGTCTGATTGGCTGGAATGAAAACTTGCCAGCCAATAACAAGGCTTCTATTATATAGGGCTGAACATTCGGCTCAGTCGTCTTCTTGGCTACTTTGTGTTGGGCCGATATTTCGGCAGTGTCGTCTTCAAAGGGTTAAGATGAGTTTGTTTCTTCAAGTGAAATATTCAGTATAACTGATATTATTGTTTTTAATTTCCAGGTCCTACATGTGAAATACTTGCAGATTCCTGCAGTTCACATCCGTGTCAAAATGGAGGTAACTGTACCAATATCGGATCCTCTTTTGTGTGTTCCTGTACTGAAGAGTTCACAGGATCACTTTGTGATGTCAGATTACCTCCCTGCTACTTCCAGCCTTGCTTCAATAATGCTACATGCTTGAACACTGACAGTAACTTCACCTGTGTATGCCCTAATGGGTTTAAAGGTACGTAGTGGTATTGCATTACGTTTGCATATTTTTGATTCATTAACTCTACACATACTAAGACAGATTAGAAGATATTTTTTTAAAAAATACTTATGTGAAACTTAGAGAACTAATCAAATTCAAATTAAATTAAGATATTAAGAAAAGATGCTGATGCTAAATAGGACACACTTTGAGAAGATCTGATAAAAATATAACTAGAAAACTTGGCACTGAAACCCACAGGGCTAAGGAAATAAACCGAGGTTAAAAACGCATAGAGAAGATACTAGAGACAGAGAGATATATATAAGGAGAGCGTTTAAAAAAAAAAGAGCTTAAATCAGGAGGAATGACTTTCTTTACTAGGTTTTATTCCATATGGCTCGGTCTCTGTCCGGAACAGCTAGCCTCCTGTTGAGAGCATTGCACAAAGCACGAATACCTTATATCTTGTGATGATCCTCAAGGGTCTCCTTAAAAATTGCACTCATTAACCGAATGACGTAGCTGTGAATTCAACCTATGACCTTCAGAGCGTAAGTCATTCAGCTTAATCACTTCACCACCGAGACCCCCAATTAGGTAGGAATAGAGTGGAAAGTATCCTGTACTTACTGTAACATATATGACAAAATGTTACATTGTTTCATATGACATTATTATATGTTGCAACTATATACTCTGCAGGGAGCAGATGTGAGTCAGTGATACTGCCATGTGACAGTTCGCCCTGCCTCAACTCTGGGAACTGCAGCAGCAAGGATGGCCAGAACTTCTTGTGTGCATGCCCACCAATCTTCACCGGTCAGATTTGTGAAACACCCGTCAATGTGTGTGCTGTGAACCCTTGCCAGAATTATGGAGTTTGTCAACTGTCGACAGACCCCAGTGATGCTTTCGGTTACAGCTGTAGATGCATTCCTCCATTCACAGGGCGGACTTGTGAGTCTTTAGTCATGACCTGTGACCCCTCTCCTTGCCAAGGAAGAGGAGCTTGTGCTATAGACCAACTCGGAGCCTTTTGTCAATGTCAGGATGTGTTATGAAGGGCTGTTCTGTCAGTATGACAAAGGTCAGACTTGTGAGCAGGCAGGAAATGTGTGTCAGAATGCGGGCACCTGTATTGTGTCTGAACGTGGTAGTATCGCTTGTAAGTGTGCGGAGGGTTATACTGGCAACTTGTGTGAAGTGGTTGTGACTGCGGGCTGTGCTCCCAGTCCCTGTAATGGTGGCGCTTGCATTTTAGATGTTTCTGGAAATTCCCATTGTGTGTGTCCACCAGGTTCAGCTGGACCAAATTGTTCCTTTTAGCTCCTCCTTCTTCTTCTTCTTCTTCTCCTTCTTCTTCTTCGTGTTTACCAGCTGTGAATTCTCTCCTCTAGATTTTAGTCTTGTTTCAGAACATAAGTTTCACATGCACCTCTGTTTCACAGATCTGGCTTATCTGTATGCAGATTATTGGTTTCTTCCATGTCAGGCAGATGCACTCCGACTTTGAAGGAAATACTCCTACTTAGTCAGATTCTTTGATATCTTATAGCCATTATCTTCTCATCCTGGATCAATATTTAATCATTTTAATTATTAACATACCAGCTAAACATTTTTTGTAGGAGTAGGATAATTCAAGAGTTGCTCTTTGTGGGTTTAAATATTTAATCATTATGGTCAGTACATATGCACATGTTCTGAAAGAAATATATAGTTGCTGCAGTTGTTGTTCATTCATTATCCTGTTGTGTCATTATATGTCACTTAGGGTTCGCAGTCTATTCTTCCATTCTGTTTTGTCCACAGTTCAATATCAATGATGGAATCCAATGCAGCAGCTTCGGCCTCTTTCAACAGTGTTCATCTTAGGGTTTCTTTTAGGCAACCTCGCCCCCTTTATCCCTTTATTTCCAATTGTAATGCCTGTTTGGTGATTCTCTGCTAGTTTCTTCTCAGAATGTGTCCAGTGTAGCACCATCTTCTCTGTCTTATAACTGTTGATACTTGTGGTTGTCCAAACATTTCTCTTTTCTTCACTCCTTTTGAATGCATCCCATTTCATTTGCATCATTTTTTTTACACATTTGTTTTTGAATGCATTTAACCTTTGTTCCATGTTTTAAGTTGTTGTTGCTCATAGTTTTTCCTTAATTAACCCTTTTCTTTATCATCATCATGACCATCACAGCTATATATTTTATAGGAACAAGATTTACTTGTTCAAGTTAATGATCATCATCATTGTCATGGGTACTTTTGTTTGCACTTTCAACTTAAACAGCTTAATAAATGGCAAGTGGCAAGCATCACTACAGAGGTCCCGGGTAGTTAGCATCATTTGGATATTTTCTCCGGGTCATGTGCCGGTATGTTGGGAAATGAGCAGGCAGATAGACTGGGCGGTTCTGCACCACTTGGTGATGAACTGATTAATGACAAGCTGCATGTTGTGAGGGCCCTTTGGGAGCGAGTGAACAGTGCCGAGGCACAGATAGATCATTACGGTCTGAAGAGAATGGCACTGAGAAGAGTTACAAAGGATCTGGCCGGCACTCGACACTCAGGGGAAAGGCGAGACGGATATACAGTGAGACAGTTACTGGTACCATCGGAATTTTAACTCTTCGCTTGATGATGAAGATAGGGACGGATCACTTATGGGGGTGTCCTGAGTGCTGTGCTGTGATTCTTAATTCAACATTCTTCAACAGCTGTTTTTCACCATTAGTATCGTCAACATCATAGTTGTACATTTTCTGAGGAAGATATAACTACAAGAGTTGCTTTTAACAGGTTGAATGTTTTGTCACCTACATTATTATCAGTTAAATTGCACATTTTCTGAAAAATATTGAACTGCAGCAATTACTTTTTATAGAGTTGATGTATCATTTTCATTATTAATATCATCATTATCATTTTCCAAATAACATGTAACCACAATTGTTGCTTTTTTATGTGTTTAATATTTAATTAAGATCATCATCATCATCATCACTGCTAAAAATGTTCAGAGAAACACAGCTGAATGAGTCACTCTTTATAGATTTAATTTTTAAACATTATCGTCATCATAAATGCAACTACACATTTTCGGAGAAATATATAACAAGTTGTTCTTCATACATTTGTACTGTTCAAAAAAAAGAAAAAAAAAGACAAAATAGAAACATGTATTTATCCGATGGAGTATTTTTTTTATTAGTTGACTAGAAAGCCCATGAGTATTTTTTTATTAGTTGACTAGAAAGCCCATGAGTATTTTTTTATTAGTTGACTAGAAAGCCCATGAGTATTTTTTTATTAGTTGACTAGAAAGCCCATGAGTATTTTTTTATTAGTTGACTAGAAAGCCCATGAGTATTTTTTTATTAGTTGACTAGAAAGCCCATAACCCTAAAAACTATTGATGACCTAGATGTAAAAGAATGACAATTGATTGGTTGAACCCTAATGTTTTCAGTGCAGTTTAAGCAGTTTCTCTCATTAAATGACACAGATTTAGAATGTCAAAGTTTATGAGAAAATTAAGTTCCTTTAAGTAGCTATGCATTTATTTATATAAAAAAAAATATTTTTTGAAGTAATATAATACTGCATTGTCTAAGAATAAGACCAGGTCTTGTGTTAATTTTGGCTTAAAAAATGCTTATTTTGCGGGGAATGTCAGAATTTTGTTTTCTCAGACATAAAATTCTACATTTTTTCTTCTTTGTTCACCAGCTGTAAGCTCTGGCGGAAGGTCCTGGCTGTTCATTGATTTAGACTTTGGCTTTGTTCCAGGGCCTGAGTTTTGCATGTACGTCCATTTTACTGGCTTATTTGTGTGCAGTTTGTTGTTCCTTGCCGCAGATGCACTTCGACTTTGAAGGATGTTCCCCAGTTAGTCGACTCCTACAACATGCTTGTTGGGAAGCAGAGGGTCTATTCTTGTTTTCCCCACAATGGGGGCCAACATAAGGGTTCACTTATCTCAAATACAGTTGTGTTATCTTATTTTTCTGTAACATAGTCATAGCTCTCCAAATCTCTAATTCCGGCCTGATTCCGCTCTTTATCAAGTGCGCACCGTGGCACCTGTACTCCAACTGGCCATTCTGGAAACAGATCTCTCATTCTAGTGACTATCTCAGCTAGGGCTAATTATTTTGGGGGTAGGGCTTATTTTAAAAGCAACCTGAAAATTGTACTAGTGCTTATTATTTTGGCGAAATGGCTTATATTAAAGGTATCCTGAAAATTGTACTAGTGCTTATTTTCTGGTGTAGGTCTTATTTTCTGGGTAACACTGTATGTGATCATCATTATCATCTCATAGCTATACATGTCGTGAGACACATAACTACAAGAGTAACTTTTCATCATTAAAATATTTAATCATTGTTATCACAGACATATGTTTATTAACTCTTTGAGTCCCAAGGAAAGCATCATACGATCATAGGTCCCGCCTAAAGGCCCAATGAACGTAGGATGCGCCGATTTTACATCTCTTTTGACTACCCCTTGGGCCTCTGATGCTAAACCCCCTGGGAATCAAAGAGTTAATAAAAATGTGACTAAAAGTCACTCTTCATAAATTTTTACTCTGAGCCATATGCTTTTCTTGCCCACATTAATATTTCACCATTGTCACAGCTTCGCATATTCTGAACATAGAACCGCAACAACCACTCTTCCACTGTGGACGTTTATTTAGCGGTATTCTGGTATTTTATAACTTTTTTCAAAATTTTATTTAGGATTCTCATAATTGTCTTCCTCGGTAGGTTCGAGTCTAAGGTGATATTTAGTATCCTGGTTTTTTTTCATAAGTACCCATCTCTACACATTTGTCTTTGTTTCGATCTGTAGACAGAGACAAACTAGAATCCTCTAGTAAAACCACACAACTTTAAATAAACGCTGTGACTGGATTGCGGCAATATCTTAATTTTTTCTTCTATTTTTTTTAAATGTTTGACAAATACATAAGTGTATACAGTAATATGTTCTTGTTTGTACAAAGTATAGACATTTAGTATATTCTAAATGTCCTGGCTTTATTTTTATAGTGATATGTGTGTTTGTCTGCTTATAGACAAACAACTTGTACAGCATTTTAAATTATGTTTTACGTAGTTTAATCATTGTTTTTGTAAACTGAAGAAAGCTTTCTAGCCTGTGGTACCTCGGTATACGTTCGCTTTGGTATACATTCAACTTGGTATACATCCTGTTTAGACTCAAAAACTTTTTACTTGGTATACAACCTTTGTTTGGAATATGAACTCCTATGAGTCATGACACTGCATGCTGCCTTTATTTAACTCTCTTGAGACAAAACCATGGATAGATGTGAGTGAATTTATAGAGAAGTATCAGCCCAACCAAGCCCAAACAAGCAGCAACAGCTTTGTCTGGAATTACCAGACAGTATCACATTTCCTTAACATAATGTGGAGAAGGTAAAAGCAAAGTTCTTTGGGCAAATTTTTAGTATATGTCAAACCTGATGAGCCTCAACCAGGTCCAGTAGTGAAAAGAGACAGAATAAAAAAAGGGAATGAGAAAAGCACAATGACTTGCGATGATATCCAAGTTCATGGCCCACAGTGGATTTACTGCAAGACCACAGACTGGCGAAGAAGAAGAAATGTGGTCACCTTAGGTTTTTGGTACGTACAGAAAGACATAGGATATGAAGATATATGTCGACAAAACAGAAGTGTTGTCATTCTCCAGAAAAGAATTATCCAGAAACAAATTGATGAACATCAGTTAAACCAGCGAAGGATTTTACATGTCTGGGTAGCATTTTTCAGACAACTGAAGAATTATTAAAGAAATCTAACAAAGATGCAATAAAGCCAATCAAGTTTTAGGCCAAACGGCAGCAATTTCAAAATGCAAGCATGTGAATTTGAACACTAAAAGAACAGAAGTGGATGAACAACCAGAATTTTCCACCAGAGTTCACAACTGGTGAGGTCCCTTTGGAAGCGATTGAGCATAGCGGAGGCACAAATAGATCACTATGATTTGAGGAGAATGTCGCTGCAAGGAGTAACCAAGGAACCTGGCCGACGCTCAACATTCAACAGAAGGGCGTGATGGATGTACAATTAGACAGTTAAGGGTACCATCGGGGTTGAATCTCTTTGCTGCTGAAGATGTGGACAGAGTGCATATGGGAGTGTCCCGAGTGCTATGATTTTGATTTTGAATTCAACATTCAACCCACACATGTTTATTTTACATAAGAATCTCAAATAATCCATTCATTTGCTATGTATTTGTTTTTCTGTTAATTTCACTATATTTTAGACA